TTATCTCCAATTAACCACAAAAGGCTGGATGGAGTTAAGGCTCAAGTGTTAGAGCACTAGCCTTGAGCAAAAAAGATCAGGGACAGTGCCCAGACCCTGAGTGCCAGGACCAGCACGGGGGGGGGGGGGGGGGGAAAGGGGCGGTACACTCTGTCTCTAAAAAGAAAATCTAAAAAGAGGTAGGGGTATGGCTCAACTGAGAGTGTATCCTGCCTGGCCAGTCCAAGGCCATGAGTCAAGCTCCAGTACAGAATTTCTTCTTATTACTAGAGTTCCTCGTAGGCATTATTTATGGTTTGTCTCATATATATAGTTTTACATATATCTATATGAGACAGTAGTGAGATATAGATAGATAGATATAGATATATGGTTTTTGAGGTCCTGGGGTTCAAACCCAAGGCCTCATGTACACTTAATAAGTGCTCTACCACTGAGCTATACCACCAGATCTTATACATTATGGTTGTTTTTTTTTTTTGTTTTTTTTCTCTTGAGCTCAGTTTGTGACAGTCTTAGAAAGGCCCTCTCTACCCCAAGGTCATAAAAATGCCCACTTACTCTGGAGATTCATCCCAGCATTTAGGTGTTGGGTCCATCAAGGGTGCAGCTGGTAGGAGGAAAGAGGGGTGCATGGGGGGAGCAGAGCCCGCTGTATCCTGCAGGCAGTTCCAGAAGGCTGAGGACCACTTCTCAGTGGCCATTCAACACAACCCCAAGAGGGCTCAGTACTACCTGTACCGGGCCAAGAGCCGACAGCTGCTGCAGGACAACTTTGGGGCCCGCCAGGATATTGCCACTTCACTGATCCTGAACCCCAACCAACCAAAGGTGGGCAGCAGAGCAGGTGCGAGTCCAGTCCAAGCCCTGTATTACAGCCATCCCTGAAAGAAACTTGCTCAGTGACAATGCGAAGGCGCAGGGGAATGTCCTGGGAGCCAGGCAGGGCTGTCACCGCAGCGCTCACCCCTCCCTATAACCTTACCTCCACCGCCCCTCCATGGTCCCTTCCTCATCGACTCCTGCCCTTTCTGGAGAAGAAAGGTCTCCATCCTTTAGGAACAACTGCAATCCTCCTTCAGCTCTGAAAAGGGCGCATAGCACATAGCCAGCACATAGCCAGGCAGGGCGGCACCAGCCCTCGGCCACTGTGCCAGCCAGTGCCTGATTCAGGTCACCCCTTTTCCTGGCAGCTGATCTCGATGATGGCCAATCTCTTCCCGGGAATGACAGTGAAGGAGGTGCTGGCGACCAAGGTGGCCCACCTGGCCAAGCTGGAGCTGGAGCGGACACTGGACAGTGACGTGGCTTACAATCCTACTGGCATTTTGGGGTAAGCTTCCAGAACTGGGGCAGGGACCTGGAGCAGGGACTGGCTGGGGCTTCTCTGTCTGCCGCCTGCAAGCACCTGCACAGGCGAGTCCTTGGGGGATTGCAGGTGGGGTCCCAGAGACCCATCAAGGACCTTGGGTGGGATTTTCACAGGCAGCTCAGGGTGCGGGAAATGGAGCGCCAGAAGGCCCGGGACCTGCAGGTCATGTGGAATGTGACCAAGGCCATCCCTGAGTCCCTGCAAGCAGAGCCAGAAGGCACAGGAGAGCTAACCAAGAAGCAAGAGGGGGTGAGTGGGCCCCGTGCTGGGCCTGTAGCCCTTGGGGGCTGAGGCATCTTCGTTTCTGTGTGAAGGCAAGGGTACGCAGAGGCCTGGGCTTCCCACACCTGGCCCACACTACTGTGTGTTCTGGACACTTGTGCCAGACTCTACTTTGTGTGTATGTGTGTGGGGGGGTGCATACCTGTACAGGAGTTTCAACAGAGAGATCACTCTCACTTGCCTATTTTGCTCAAGGCTAGCACTCTTCCACTTGAACCACAATTTCACTTCTGGCTTTTTGGTGGTTAAATGTAGATAAGACACTTCAAACCATGAACTCAGCCACCTGAGTAGCTAGGACTACAAAGGTGTGAGCCACCAGCACCCAGTACCCAACTTCTTTTTTTTTTTTTTTTTTGGTCCGGTTGTGGGGCCTGAACTCTGGGCCTGGGCACTGTCCCTCAGCTCTTCAGCTCAAGGCTAGCGCTCTACCACTTGAGCCACAGTGCCACTTCCAGCTTTTTTCTTTTTGCTTATGTGGTGCTAAGGAATCGAACTCAGGGCCTCAGGCATGCAAGGCAAGCGCTCTACCACTGAGCCACCTACCCAGCTCCCCAACTTCTTTTTTTATTATGATTATTATCATTATTGCCAGTCCTGGGGCCTGAACTCAGGGCCTGGGCACTGTCCCTGAGCTTCATTTGCTCAAGGCTAGCACTCTCTACCACTTGAGCCACAGCGCCACTTTTGGCTTTTTCTGTTTATGTGGTACTGAGGAACTGAACCCAGGGCTTCATGCATGCTAGATAAGCACTCTGCCAGTAGGCCACATTCTCAGCCCCCCAACTTAATTCTTTTTTTTTTTTTTTTGTCGGTCATGGGGCTTGAACTCTGGGCCTGAGCGCTGTCCCTCAGCTCTTCAGCTCAAGGCTAGCGCTCTACACTTGAGCTACAGCGCCACTTCTGGTTTTCTGGTGGTTTATTGGAGATAAGAGTTTCACGGGCTTTCCTGCCCAGGCTGGCTTTGAACTGCAATCCTTAGATCTCAGCTTCCTGAGTAGCTAGGATTACAGGCGTGAGCCACCAGCAGCCAGCCCAACTTAATTCTTTAGTTGTTCCTAAAAGCTTTTTATTGAACAGAGTATAGACAAGGACACAAAACTTAGAACAATTGGACGCATTTTCACAAACTGAACATACCATGACACCAACACCAGCTCAGTGAAGAACACATCCCGGGCTCGCCATTAGCAGTCATGCTAGCTCTCCAGCTCTGGCTCCAAAATTCACCCAAACTGTTTCTCACCACATAGAAGATACTAGCCTGTAACTATCCTGTTTATCCTGTAACTATCCTGTTTATCTACCGGTCCCCACTGCTAACAGTCACCACGTAAGTTTGTGTCCAAAGGACTTTATGCCACTGAACTGAACATGGTGCCAGTGTCCCAGACACAACGGAAAGAAGCTACTGTCATCTTACTAGTTCACCTTAGAACAGGTGTAAAGCCCGGGCCTCCCCTGCGCGTGCGTCTGTGGCCATGGTGATGAGGAGCCGGCAGGGCGCAGCACAGAGACCAGGGCCTGTACGATGGGTGCTCATGGCACATGGCAGCAGCCTCCCTCCACCTGCTTGTGATGGTGACAGAGGCCAGCGGGCCAGAGGGGACATCGGAGACCCAGCAGCCCTTGAACTTGGCCTCTCTTGGGGTGCCATACCTGTGTAGCCCACCCATGCCCCTTCCTGTAGCCCTAGCCACTCTACACCCACCCAGCCCCAGCTTGGCATCTGTGAGGAGCCAGTGGCATGGCTGCCACCCAGGTCTCTGAATACAGCCACCCTGCCCGTTTCTGCCGCAGGAGCCCACTCCTCAGGAGACGTCCCCCTCGGAAAGCTACCTGGACCAGACCGTGTCAAGCTCCATGCTCAGCAGTGAGTCTCAGGCCTGCAGGGCCTACGGTGCTGATGGGCAGGAGTTGGGGACTCAGGTTCTGCTGTTGACAGCAGCGTGACCCTTGGGCTAGTGACTAACTCAAAATGAGTCCCAACCTTGGTGGGACAGTGCCCACCCAAAGCAGGCAGGCTGCGCTCACCAGGCTCCTTGTGGTTGCTGCCCTCTCCCTTGTCCCTCTCTGGCCTATCTTTTTCTCTCTGCCCTCAGAACTAGCTCACAAGCTTTACGCATATCCATGGGCTGTGGGGTGCCAATCCTACCAGGTACCAGCAGGGGTGGGAGCAGGGACAAAAGGGAAAAACTAGAGCCCTTAGCAGGGAGAATGGCAGGGACCACGCCTTCCATTTGTGCTATGCAGGCCCGGGCCCAACACCGACACAGGCAGAGGGACTCAGGGCCCAGTCCCTGCTCTGGAGAGGGAGCTCTAAGTCAACTGTGAAAGGAGACAGGGCGAGGGGCTCAGCCCTCTGAAGGCTTGGGGGGGAGGGGCTGCGCTAGGATGAGCTTAAGGATCACCCTGTGGGAGCACAGAGGACAAGGGGCAGCTGGCCAAGGGGAACTGGGAATGGGCAGCTCCCCTTATCTTATGGCCTAGCCGGCCTCAGGGCTTCAGTTGTGGTGGAGGCTGGGCTGGTGTGAGCTGGGAAGACACTCAGGCAGAAGCCTGAAGGTGTTCTTGGCACCCATTTCCAGCCAGGACCGTGGTCACCTCCGACACGGGGACATCTGCCACCAGCCAGGAATACAAGAGCACCTCCAGCACCGAGGTGCTGGATACCATGTCAGAATCTGACTCCTCGCTGCTGCAGAGTCAGTCCCTAGACTCCTTGCAAAGAAAGGAACACCCTGGAAAAACCAAAGTGTCCCAGGATCTGAGACAGAGCTCCAAGACCAAGGCTGTCCCTGGTCAAAGCCGAAGCTCCAGCATAATTGACAGCATCCAGGGCCAAGGCCAAGGCCAGAGTGCCAGCAAGACAGAGGCCACCCAGGGCCCAAAGAAGAAGCTCACCAAGCGCAAGGGTCAGGAGAGCCCAAGGCAAAGGCGCAGAGGGGCCAAGGCCACCCCTGGCCTGGGCTGGAGAGCCCCCAAGGCCACCAGCTCCCAGAAGCAAGGCACCAGCAAGACCAGAGCTTCTAATGAACGACGCTGGAGCCTCAGCAATAGCAAGGGGATCCAGAGCCAGAGGCCCAACAAGGCTGAAGCTGACCCCAAAACAGCCTCATCTGCCAACCAGGTCCATGCCAGCTGGGGTCCCAAAATCAAGACTACCCAGGCAGGGAGCTCGGGTACCAACAACGCTGAGGCTGGTCAGGTGGCAGCTACCAGCTGCTCTCTGAAGGGGACATGTCACTAGCCCTTCTGGCAGGGGAGAGGACAGATTTAGCCCAACACACTGGCTCTTAGCCAAGCTGCTCCTTTCTGGGGCAAAGAAAACACCAGTCAACATTCCTCTGATCCCACGGCTAGGTTTATTACACTTGTTCTCTTCTTTTACGAGATTAAAATCATCCAAACGCAGGACAGAAGTCAGCTCGAGTCCCTCCATTCGTAGAAACTGCTGAGTCCCAGCCTGATGTGACACTGGGAGCTGGGCTGTGGATGCGGGGAATGTGGAGCCAGGACAATGGCATGGTGGATGGGGGTGAGGGGACAGCCCAGGACAGACAGGGCAGCCACGAGACTCAGTCCCTGAGTTACAATTCACATTAAGAAAGCTCAGGCTGCAGGAAGAGGTCAAGGCTCAGTTGAGGTTCCGGGGTGACCAGGGTTCCATGGGGAAGGCAGCAAAGGCCACAGTGCCTCTCACCAGGTGAGAGGCCAGGTCCTTTGGCCTGTGTCCTTGGCTTAGCCAACACCCTTGACTTTTTACCCTGGGTCCCACTGGCCAGCAAGCTCAGGACAAGGGCTTTCCTGTGTGGTCTGGCCAGAGGCGGCAAGGATGCCCCAAGTGTCAGAGGAAGAAGGCGATCCGAGAGGCCACAGTCTTGCAGCCGTTGGAGGAGAAGAGCTGCTCATCCTCAGGGAAGAAGGTAGCACTGTCTAGTACAGCCCGGACCACCTCTTCCCGGGGCTCTAGGCCCAGCTGGGCCAGCTCATTGAGCACACAGTGCCTTACATGATGCCTCTGGAGCGGGAGGAAGGGCACTATGGCGTCCAGCAGGTGTTCCTCCAGGATGCCCGAGCGCCAGAAGCCATCTAGGAGGTGAAGGGAGACACACACACAGACACATGCTCAAAGGGGGAGAAGCCCACACCCAACGGGCAGCAGGATGTGGCATAGGCTCAGGGCCTGTATGACTCACTGAGGTCACAGAGACGGGAGCAGAGAAGCCTGGGCTCAAAACTAGAGGGCCAGATGTCAAAGCTGCAGACTCCCACGAACACGGCCCACCCCAATACATCTGGCCCATTGAGTTTGGGTGTGAAGCCACCCTGGTAGACTCCTGAGTCAACTCACGGTGGGGGTTGTCCAGCACAGCCCGGGAAATGGTGGGCTCCAGTTCCTGCAGGCTGATCTCCTCCCGTTCCCTGCGGCTGCGCCAGGCCTCCAGAACCACCTGGTTGATCTGCTCACCACCAGAGTTGCTGAAATCATGGAGAACCCAGGCTGAGACTTAGCCCTTTCTTCCCTAAGAACACCTAATCAGGCCTGGGAGCTCAGCTCAGTGTGGCAGGAGCCAAAGCAGAGAGAACACTGCCCTCCCCTCCAGCTGTATGTCAGCATGACTGTGTGACTTGTGCACATGTGGTGCACTTCACTCTGCACCACACGTGTGTGTCCCTTAACTGACTTTCTTCTGGCCAGCCCCCGGGAGGACAATGGGGCATTAACATCAGCCCAGCTGTTCAGAAGAGGTAGAAAGCAGTTTCAGAAGGAACACAGCTAGAATTCAGTCCTTAGTTCCCCAGGCAGTGTTCTCTGACCACAAAAGAACTTTTTTTTTTTAAGCCAGTACTGGGGCTTGAACTCAGGACTTGGGTACTCTCCCTTAGCTTTTTCACTCAGGTTGGTGCTCTACCACTTGGGTTATAGCTCTACTTTCAGCTTTTTACTGGTTAATTGGAGATAAGAGTCTCACAGACTTTCCTGCCCAGGCTGGCTTCACACCATGATCCTCAGATCTCAAACTTCTGAGTAGCTAGGATTACAGCGTGAGCCACTAGCACAAAAGAATTCTTGACCCGCCAGGAGTCCCCTCTTGGGAGGCTCCCAGAATGGCTTTGAGAATAACATCACTAGTGAGAGCTGAGGGGCTGGGCAGTGCCTCCACTTCTACTGGGAGCGCAGCCAAGACTAGGCTGACATGTGACCCCTGCTGCCCTTTTTTTTTTTCTTTAAATCGGTCGTGGGGCTTGAACTCTGGGCCTGGCCGCTGTCCCTGAGCTCTTCAGCTCAAGGCTAGCGCTTTACCACTTGAGCCACAGCGCCACTTCTTTCCCCCCTGCTGGCCTTCTAACAAGCATCTTCCCCCCAGTGCCATGCCCAGCAGCCCCCACCTGATGAAGATGAAGATGGCTTTGCGATAGTTGGTCCCATACACAACCCAGGAGGAGCCCAGGAACGGTCGCAGGACCTCCATCAGGCCTGGGGGCAGCTTATCCATCTCATCGAAGAGGAAGAGGGAACGGCCACAGGCGGTGAGGTTCCCCTGGACCCAGCTCTTAAGATCTTTCTATGGGAAGAGGCAAGAGTTCCAGGAGGGGCCAGAGGTATTCCACCAACCCTCTAACTTCTTTCCACATCAAGAAACCACCCCTATGGGCTGGGAAGGTGGCTTGGTGGTAGGGTGCTTGCCTAGCATGCATGAAACCCTGGGTTCCATTCTTCAGTACCACATAAACAGAAAAAGCCAAAAGTAGTGCTGTGGCTCAAGTGGGAGAGCACTAGACTTGAACAAAAGAAGCTCAGTGCCCAAGCCCTGAGTTCAAGTTCAAGTTCCAGGCCCTGGCAAAAAATAAAAATAATCTTAGGGGAAAAAAAAACATCTTCCCAGGGAGATATGCTTTCCTAGAGAGTACACTTAGTGGACACTGATGGTAAAACACTGGCTAAGAGAGGGGCATAGACTTTCCCAAGGTCACACAGCCTGGCACACAAACCCATGTGCCCACCTCTCAGTTCAAGCTCTTTCCATGACTGCTTCCATTGACAAGAAAAGGCTCCCTCCTATCCCTGAACCTGCTCAACAGAGCTGACAGCAGAAACTGATCAGCCAGACAATGGTGGTGTTTTGTCAAGTGCTTCCTCTGAGCCCTAAATGAACCCTACACGGAGATGATGAAGCAGTGACAAACACAGGTGTTCAATAAGTGTATCTGTAATTGTGTGATCCCAGGTCCCTCTCAACAGCTCTGGCCAGAAGATACCACTACCTCACCGTTCTCTACCCTCCCCCAACACACACCAAAGAGAGAACTCCCAGCCAGGTAGAAGGGCACCACCCCAAGCTCTGTTTAGGAAAGTGTCCTAAGGGCTGAAACTCCACATGGCTGTGTAATCTGAGCAGAAGTGACTCCCTTCTCTGGGCTCTAGACTCATTTCTCAGGGTCTACCATACCACGATGCAGGCGAAAAGATATGTAGGACACATTCAGCCTACCTTGTAGCGCTCGATGTGGCTGGGGTGTGGGAAGTGTATAATGGGGGAAAAATGGTGCACATGGGGGCTGCGGAGGCCACCCCGGAAGAGGTAGCGCGCCAGCAGGGAGCTGACATAGGACTTGCCCGTGCCGGTCCAGCCGTGCAGGGAGAGGACCAGCGGCTTCGCAGGGGTGGGGTCCTGCAGGAAGGCCTTCAAAGACTTCACCACCAGGGCTCTGGCCAGGTGCTGGCCAGCCAGGTGCTGAGCCAGGTCACACTCCAAGCCTAGAGCCAGAGGAGACAGTGCCACGGCTGAAGTCACTTGCCCAGGTAGACAGGAGGTTGGCGGGAAGAATCATGTCTGGAATCTGGTCCCGGGAACCCGGTGTGTGGGACGTTTGTCCTGGGGTGGACAGGGCGCGAGCCCCCGGAGCTCGGCAGCGCCCTCACCAGGCGCATCTCCAGATTGCACCAGCCTGGCGCGAGCGCGGGCTGTCAACAAGGTCCGGCCCTGCGACCGTCCAGGCAGATTTCTCCCAGGACTCCCCGGCTCGGACGCCCTAGATGCCCACCTCCGGGGCCCTGCTGCCAGAGGCCCTTGTCCCGGGACCCCAATGAACAACCTCCCGATCCAGGCTCTCCGCCCGTCCCCTCCGGGCTGGGCCCGCTTCCGGCCCTGCCAGTGAGGGGCCCGCCCCCCCGCGGCCCGCCCCCAGTCCACAGAGCGACGGCCCCGGGCCTGGCCCCCCGCCCGCCCGCCCGCCCGCCCGCCCGCCGCCCGCCTCCGGCCCTCGGCCCCTCACCTGGCAAGTCCGGCCGGAAGTCGCACTCACAGAAGGAGCCGAAGTTGCAGCGCAGAGAAGCCACGTCCCAAGCGGCGGCCGCGACCGAGACCAGCCCGAGGAGCCCGAGGAACGAGCCCCAGGGCCGGCAGCCGCGCGTCGCAGCCGCCATCCGGGAGAGGCCCGAGCTCCTTGAGGAGACGCCCACCGCCTCGACCTGCGAACTACAACTCCCGGCGTGCACCGCTCCGTCGCGGCCACGCCCATCCCCCTGCCACACGGAGCTCTCCCTCCCGCGCGTCTCTAAGGCCGGCTCGACCTCGCACAGCAGTACCGGAGAGTGGCCTCCAGCGGGCGCCGGAGAACCGTCCAATCCTATAAGGGTGGGCCTTGTTCCCATGGCCACCGTAACCAGGGACCATCACCTTAGCTCAGAAAAAAATAAAGGAGTACAACCACAAAGGGTGACGTAACAGTTATAAGAAAAACTTGCACGGAAATCTACCTCTTGCAAAGCGCCTTTTTCAATGCGTGTTTTTTTTCCTTTTGTGTGGCAAGAGGGTTCACTTAGATACAGCTTTTGATGAGTACCTTTGGCTATTAGCATCAGGAGACTTACACGGGTATTCTAATAGTAGCTACTATACAGAGATGTGATATTTCAATGAGATGGAGGCACATAAGGTATTTTGGCTCCAAATGTAATCAAAAAATTATCTTTGTTGGTCCATTAAGTGTGAACTGTGGTGCGTCTTACCTAGCAGCTTCTACACACTAAAGGCTTTAATCAGTCCCAGGAGACAGGTTCCATTATTCTTACTTTATTGAATTTGGGACCCAAGAGATTAAGCCTCTTATTCAAGTTCCCCCAGCAAATAACTAATAGAACTAAACCTGTGTCCAGTTGCTGCCAAAGGTTTAACATGCCATTTCATGCATCAACCTCAAGGTCAAAGGGTTCAGAGGCACAGGGCCCTAGATGCATCAAATTCAATGAACAAGCACCTGGAGCTCCCAGCTTGACTCAGGCTCACGTCGATTCATGTTGTCCACCTCTACTTCTCCCACCTTCTCCTGGCAGCCTTCCTGGTCCAATGTCAAAGATCCTTTTCCTACTCACCCCAACACACACACACACACACACACACACACACACACACACACAGAAAAAATAGTGGCACATACAGAAAAATCACTACTAATTTCAGGCTTTGAAATATGACTTCAGAAGTCTTGGTGTGTGTGTGTGTGTGTGTGTGTGTGTGTGTGTGTCTGTGTTCACACTGGGGCTTGAACTCAGGGCTTTGGGTTTTCATGCTGCTCAAGGCTGGTGTTCCACCACTTGAGCCACAACTTCATTTCTGGCTTTTTGCTGATTAACTAGAGATAAGAGTCTCTCAGGGCTGGGAAGGTGGCTTAGTGGTAGAGCGCTTGCCTCACATGCCTGAGGCCCTGGGTTCGATTCCTCAGCACCACACAAACAGAAACAGCCAGAAGTGGCACTGTGGCTCAAGTGGTAGAGTGCTCTCCTTGAGCTGAACAGCTGAGGGACAGTGCCCAGGCCCAGAATTCAAGCCCCACAACTGACCAAAAAAAAAAAAAAAAAAAGTCTCTCAGATTTTCCTGCCCTGACTAGCTTCAAACCGTGATCCTCAGATCTAGGCCTCCTGAGTAGCTAGGATTATAGATGTGAGCCACTACACCCAGGTACTAGTTCTCACTACTGAGGGGGGAAAAAAAAGAACTCTGGCCAGGACATTCAGGTTGTATTAGCCTTCACGTCCTCCCACTGTGACTGGGAAACGTCCCTTCTCTCCCCAGATCTGTTTTTCCACAGCACATTTGTGATCCGAGACTTCCAAGAGCGCTTCCACCAAAAACATCTCAGCTTTTGGGCTGTGTATGTGAGAACCAGTGCTGTGGCTTCCTGGAGCAGGCATGAGTCAAGAGGAGAAAAGGGTAAGCCAGTTCTCCCAGTGGGTTGAATTGGCTGTCTTCCCACCCCTGCCCTTTGAGCTCTTCAGGAGAAGGCCTGGGGATCATACCTACCATGACCCTGGCTCTTGGCGTAATCTGGTCTGTGGAACCCAGGTATTTGTTGAATACTTTTTCATCTTTTTTTTTTTTTTTGGTGATACTTGGGTTTGAGGTCTGGGCCTCATGCTGGCTAGGCAGGCACTCCATCATTTGAGTCTTTCTACTAAGCCCAAGTTTTCTACCTTTTACCTGAGAAAGAGTGCTCCTTTCTTCCTTGAAGCCCCTTGAGCAACAGAAGAAAGAGTCATAAAAGTTTATTGTATGAAAGAAAAAGCATGGTTTCTGTACATCTATTTACAGAACGGACTTATTTACAGTAGCAAGATGGAGGCCTTGGTGCCAGTGTGCAGATGCCTGGAGAAGAGGGAAGAGGTATGGAGCCTTCCCATGGCTCAAACACGGGGAACCTCGCAGAAAGCGGGGACCACAGAAGCTGGTGGGGGGCTAGGGGATCCTGTCCTTCCTGAAGACTCAGAAGGGTATGTCCAAGAGGCAGAGCCAAGAGTCCACACAGGACCCTGGAGGTGCAAGGAGGTCCTGGAGTTGAACCCAGAACATTCTTGGGCTGATCACAGTGTCCCTGGGGTGCTCTGGGGAAAAGGCCTCTGCTCACCCCCCAGTTTGCCTGAGGCTGCAGAGGGGAAAGATGGCTAAGGGTCACAGCTCGCTGGATCGGACTGCAGGCTCCAACTTGTGGGACAGCGCAGTGAGGACCTTGTCGAATTTCTCATAGCGTCGGGCCTGGCTGCTGGTGGCACCTTGGCTGCCCCAGAGGAGGCGCATCTGGAACTCGGTGCTGAACACCTCCAGGAGCTCTGGCCGGGCCTGGAACCCTGAAAGGAGGAGGTGGGTACAGGGTCAGGGAACAACTTCTGGCTGGGGAGGCTCGGGCTCCAGGGATCCCACTCCTAGGCTCCTTTCCCTCATTCTGCCGAAATTCAGTCTGTGGATGAACATGACTATACAAATTAACATCCAGTCTTTCTTCAACTATCTGTAACATACAGTTTTAAAGACTAGACAATAATTGTGTGCAAGCGTTGCTGGCGATGGAAGCCAGGGCTTCCTGCATGCCAGGCAACTGCTCTACTACAGAACTACATCCTCAGCCCTTAAAAAAGAACATATTCATGTTAATATTTTGGGAGATCTTAGAAGATCTTTCTTTTTAAATTTTTTTATTGTCTAGGTGATGTATAGAGGGGTTACAGTTAACTAAATAAGGTAATAAGTACCTATCTTGTCAAACTTATTACCCTTTCCTTCTCCTACTTGCCTTCACCGCAACCCCTTTCCTTTCTTGTCTTATATTTATCTATAAGCTCCATTTTTAAAGAAACATATATACATTTTCCAATTTATATATATGCTCTCTAAAGAAGAAAGTATGAAAAAATATAACAGAATATCCCAGAATATTTACTTCTGGGTAACTGTGTGTTACTACTTGAGCCACAGTCCCACTTCCAACATTTTGGTAGTTAATTGGAAATAAAAGTCTCACAGAGGGGCTGGGAAGGTGGCTCAGTGGTAGAGCGATTGCCTTGCATGCATGAGGCCCTGAGTTCGATTCCTCAGCACCACATAAGCAAAAAGAAAAAAGCCAGAAGTGGCGCTGTGGCTCAAATGGTAGAGCGCTAGCCTTGAGCTGAAGAGCTGAGGGACAGCGCCCAGGCCCGGAGTTCAGGCCCCACGACTGGACCCCCCCCCAAAAAAAAAAGTCTCACAGATTTTTCTGCTTGAGCTGGCTTAGAACCTCAGTCCTCTGATCTCAGCCTCCCCAAGTAGCTAGGATTACAGACATGAGCCACCAATACCTGGCTTTAACTCTTATTTTTGCTCTATTGTAATTTCTGTCTCCAGTGGACTTTTGTGGCTTGAATTTACTGACGAAAGTAAATGAGAGACAGTGTCAAACCACTTTCTCTCTGCACCTTTCCAGAGAAGGAGTTCTGTGTCCCGCCATATTGAACTCCTTGATGACTGAGCAGGTCTCTCCATACCAGGGCCTGGGCTGGGCACCTTTACAAACCACCTGGGAAGCAGGCCTATCAGATGCACACTTCACAGATGAGAATACGGAGGCCCAGCAAAGCTTAGACACGCAGCTAAGCTGCTCTGCATCATGGCTGACACCTCACCTGACAGTTTGTCTAACAACTGCTTGTTGAGGTAGGGAGCGAGAGAAAGGAGTCAGGAGAGAAGGCAGGGCAGAGGGATAGATGCTTGGAGGAAGGCAATACACTGGAGGAGAGCAGGATCCCGACGATGTTATGGCCACTCACCCTGCAGCTTGACTTCAGCGTTGGTGTGGTAGAGGCCTCCGTGGTGTGCCACTGTGCGAGCGGCCTGGAGGTGAGCCAGAACCACCTCCACACCATGCTCCGTGCTGCCCCAGGGCTCGGGGCCCTCAGCAGGGGCTGAGTCACACTCCAGCAGACTGATGAGTGGCAGGATGTGGGGGAAAGTGGTGTTGCTCAGTGGAGGCCCTTCTGTGGGGGGAGGGGAGGATAATGGATAAGTGCTTAGAGACCTTGCAGGCCTGAAGCTGAGGGGAGGGAGAAAATGGACCTGCCTGAGGGCCCAGCTCAAGCCCCAAGGGATCCTGGCTCCTGGGATTGACTCTTCCTTTTCCATTTCATAAATAAACTCCACCAGGGCTAAAGCCTAGAGTTGGGCATGGCTTACACCCATTTAGAGAGTGAACTCCATCAAGCTCTCCTCATGATCCACACCGGGAGAGTCTGCCCAGAGTGCTGGCACGCGTCTAAGGCCACACAGCAAGGAGGTGGTTACCTTTGCCCTCGTTAAGGCTCTTGAGAAAAGGCTTCAGCTTCTTCTCGTACAGGAGAGCACCCTCCGTATGCCGCTGTCGCAGTGTCACCCATGTCTGCTCCAGCCGGGAAATCTGGGGAGACCAGACTGTGAGAGTCCAGCCAGGGCAACAGCCCGCCAGGGCGGCTGGCACAGGCCGCCCCGCCCAGTCACCACCTAGGTGGGATAGTTTACTGATCACTAACTGGAAGTCAGTTTAACTCAGAGTGCGCCTCATTCATCTTAAATGTGGAGAAACTGAGGCCCAGGGAAGGGGAAGAAAGAAATTGATCTTGGTCAATCCTTGGAAAACTCAATTCTCCTCTGTCTCCAACATTTTTAGGGGGGAGCGAGTGGTAGTGGGGTTTTGAACTCAGGGCACCCAGCTGGCCAGGCAGTGGCTCTGTCACTTGAGCCACGCCCCCCGCCCCAGCCCTCAAATGCCTAGAAATCGCAAATCTTTTCCTGTTCCCACACAGAGCCAACCCCAAGGAACACGCCCCAGGGCTCTTCCAGATACTGGAGTGGGACCCTGTACCTGGGCCATGTCCAAGGCGCTCATAACCGCCGCGAAGCTGAACATGTTGCCCATGGTGCCTCTAAGCTCGGCCGCCAGCTGGATGGTTTTGTGCAGCAGCGCTGCCCGCTCCTCCGCCGAGCCTGTGCAGCCCAGGATGTCCACGGCCAGCATGATGGACATGGTGTGGAACCTGTGGAGGGAGCATGGGGAGAGAGGCGGGGTCAAGGTCAGGGAGAGAGGTTGTGATGGGTTAGAAAGATTGGGAGGCGTGGCCAGAACCACGGAAACAAGGCTAAGGGCTTTTGATTGGTCAGAAAAAGTTAGAGGCGGGACAAGGACGCTCAAGAGGTGGGGCTTATGACTGTCCAGTGAAGCTCATCGTGGAGAGTTGGTGGTGGGATCTTTTTGGATTTTTATTTCTTTTTTGCCAGTCCTGGGGCTTGAACTCAGGCCTGCGCACTGTCCCCTAAGCCTCTCTCTGCTCAAGGCTAGCACTCTACCACTTGAGCCACAGCGCCACTTCCGGCTTTTTCTGTGTATGTGGTACTGAGGAATGGAACTCAGGGCTTCATGCATGCTAAGCACGCACTCCACCACTGAGCCACCTTCCCAGCCCCAAGTCTGAGATTCTTCTCTCCCACTAACCACCAAAACGTGGAGCTGTGTCTCAAGTTGTAGAGTGCCAACCTTGAATGAAGAAGCTCTGGCCTGAGTTCAAGCCTAGAACCAGCACCAAAAAATAAAAAGGGGGGTGAGTAGGTCAGGAATTGGGAATTGTGGGCGGGACCAAAGCTGACAGAAAAGGGATGCAAAAAGAGAATCCAGAGATAAGAGATAAAGTCTTGGAGATACCAGATTGCTTTGAGTTGAATGAGATGTGATTGGCCAATGGGATAAAGCGTAGCCAAACTTTAGCAGGGCTCGATTGGGAGACTGGCTGGGAGACAGGCCACACCGCCATAGCCAAGGAAACTGAGGCAGCCCAGGGTTCCTTCCTTAAATGCTAGCCACTAACAGCAGGTGCTTGCCTTGCCTTACCTTTCCAGCAGGTCTAGTCGTAGCTGCCGGCCGTGGGGGAGGGTAAGCAGCTCCAGGCCCCAACGGACTCCCATTAGGGTCTGCATCTCCTTGGTAACGCCCAGTATCCTAGCAACCTGCAAGGACGCCCAGAGGGCTGATTAATTTCCTGTCAGGGTTGGTCCAAGCCATCTGGGAGTCAGAGAGGTTTTTGTTTTTATTTCCTAAGAGGGTAGCCAGGCTGGGATGTCAGGTTTGAATCCTAGCACTTCTACTAACCTTCTAACACAAAGCAAGTGACTACCTTTCTAAATGAGCCTCAGTTTGCCCATCTGTGAAATGGGGACAACAGAAAAGCCTCAGAGGTACCTGACATGTTACTCACTTTAAGACCAAGGACTAAAATGCCCTTATTCAAGAGGGAAGCCAGGCACTAGTGGCTTGCACCTGTAATCCTAGCTACTCAGGAAGCTGAGATCTGAGGATCATAGTTTGAAGCCAGCCAGGAAAATCTATGGGACTCAAACTAAGCACCAAAAAAGCTAGAAGTGAGCTGGGTCTCAAGTTGTAGAGTGCTAGCCTTGAGCAAAGAAGCTAAAGGACATCTCCCAGGCCCTGAGTTCAAGCCCCAGAACTGGGACTTTTTTTGTGTGTACAAAAAAAAAAAAAAGAGAGGGCAAACCTGAGGCTCAGCGAGGGAACGGACTTGCCCAATGTCACACATGGGGCTAGAACCCAGGGATCTCCCTTCCTGCCCAAGGCTAGACATGGAGAGACATCCCTGCCTTGTCTTCTTTTTTTTCTTCTCATTTCTGAGCTCTTAAACCAGTGTGGGCACCCCAAACCACAGAAGGAGAAACTGGAGTACAGATAAAACGCGTCCTTAGAGGACCAAAGTCACTTCCTGCTTAGCAAAGGCCCTGGCATTGACAATGTATGGGCTGAGAAAGTATTTTGCTTATTTGTCCACTAGAGGGCGTGGGGGCAGGGAGTCGGGCTTCCTGGAGCAGACCACTAACTTTGAGCAGGCTGGCCAGGGCACTGGGGATATCCCACACCCCATCCCAGTGCCAAACTCCACCAGGTCTCAGGACTGCCAAGTTCTTGTGCCATACTGACACCTGGAGGATATAAGAATATCTTGGTTTGTGCCTTTAAAAAAAATGAGATAGTTGGGCTGGGAAGGTGGCTCGGTGGTAGAGTACATACATGAGGCTTTGGGTTCAATTCCTCAGAACCACATAAACAGAAAAAGCCAGAAGTGGCGCTGTGGCTCAAGTGGTATAGCCTTGAGCTGAAGAGTTAAGGGACAGTGCCCAGGCCCAGAATTCAAGCCCCATGACGGACCAAAAAAAAAAGAGAGAGAGAGAGAGAGAGAGAGAGAGAGTCTTCCTCTGTGGTCCAGTCTGGTTTCAAACTCACTCCATAGCCTAAGCTAGTCTCAAAGTAGTAATGCCCTGCTTGAGTCTCCCTTTGTTGTTGTTATTTTGTTTTGTTTGCTGTGCTTGAGGATTTCACTCAGGGCCTCACACTTATTGGCAAGCAATCAAACCCCTGGTCTTTTTGCTTTTATTTTTCAGATAGGGGGTTACACTTTTGCACAAGCTAGATTCAAACTACAATCTTCCTGCCTCTGTCTCTTAAGTAGCGGGCTTATAGGTACAAGCCTCCATACCTGGACTTGTCTTTTGATTTTTTAATTTTTTGGTAGCATTGAAGTCTGAGCTTAGGGCATCGTGCTTACAATGCAGCCACTCTGCCACTTGAGCCATGCCCCAGGACTGTTGTTTGTGTTTTTATTTATTTTTTGGCTATTCCTGGGGCTTGAACTCAGGGCCTGGGCTCTGTCCCTGAGCTTCTTTTGTTCAAAGCTAGCACTTGAGCCACAGTGCCACTTCCAGCTTTTTCTGTGTATGCGGTACTGAGGAATTGAACCCAGGGCTTTATGCATGCTAGGCAAGCACTCTACCACTGAGCCACATTCCCATCCCCTTGTTTTTTGTGTTGTTTTTTTTTTAACTTGAACTCAGGGTTCTCCCTCTCTTAGCTTTTTTGCTGAAGGCTGGTCATCTATCACTTGAGCCACACTTCTACTCCAGCTTTTTAGTGATTAATTGGAGATAAGAGTCTCTTGGATTTGTCTGCCCAGATTGGTTTTGAACTGTGATCCTGAGATCTCAGCCTCCAGAGTAGCTAGGATTACATGTGTGAGCCATTGATGCCCAGTAGCATTTCTTCTTCCTCCTCTTCCTTCTCCTCTTCCTCCTCCTCCTTCTGGTCATGGGGCTTGAACTCTGGGCTTGGGCACTGTCACTGCACTCTTCAGCTCAAGGCGAGCGCTCTACTGCTTGAGCCACAGCGCCACTTCTGGTTTTCTAGTGGTTTATTGGAGATAAGAGTCTCACAGATTTTCCTGCCTGGGCTGGCTTTGAACTGCAATGCTCAGATCTCAGCCTCCTGAGTAGCTAAGGATTACAGAAATGAGCCACTGGCGCCCAGCTCCCAGTAGCATTCCTTTTAAGGAGGAAATAAGAGACCCAGAGTGACAAAATGACCGGCCAAGTCACAGAGCAGGTACAGGCTAGCTATGGAACCAGAATCCAGGCCTGGGCATCACTAGACCTGGCATCTGGAAGCCAGTCCCTTACCACTTGATTCCTAGTCCTAAACCCAGAGACCAAGGTGCTGTCCCCACCCCAGCACACACCCTCCACCTACCAGGCAGTCAACCTTGGTGACATGCCGGGCCAGCGTCCGGGCGTCCACCTCTGCCAGCAGCTCCTTGACCTTGCGCAGAAGGCCCACCTCCAGTGGCCGGTTGTCTTTGGGAATCAGAAGGGACTGGAAGGTGGCTGGGTTGAAGGAAGAGCTGGATTCCATGACAGGGACTGTGAAGGCCTTGCCCCAGTCCCCCTCGGAGGCCCCATTTTCCGATGGCTCCTTTAGCCTCTCCCCGTAGCTCCTGGCCTGCTGACTGGAGGTGCCCACCGCTGCCCAGTCTCGGCTGCCACGGGCAGGCGGCTGAAGTTGGCAGTAGTGGCCAGAGTCCGGGTCACTGTAGCTGCTGAGGGATGGTGAGGGGGAGGCCTTGCTGAGGGTATGTGAGGGGCTGGCATGAGAGCCCTTGTCCAGTTCCCCAGAGGGCTTCTGAGCACTTCCGGGACATAGTTGGGGCTCACTGGAGCGGCGGATGGCAGGGGAAGCAGGCAAAGCTGTGGCAGAAGGGACTGCAGGGGTAGCGTGGACACGGGTTACTGCAGAAAGGAGCAAGAGAAGACTGATTACCACAATCTCCGCACAAAGTACAGTCCTCCCATCCCTGTTTGCCAGAGAATAGGTTCTACTACTGCGCATGGTAGTGAGCAGTCCCACCACGCTCTGGCAGACTGACTGGCCTTCAGTGATACGCTGCAAGGCCCTGGGCGGCAGGGGCTGGCATCCCCCTGCCATTCGGCCACTGAAGCCTGGGGAGCCACTGAACTGCTCGCAGGAGGCCCCAGGAAGCTAAGCACTTGTAGAGTTCATTACATCCTGTGTCATCATGTTTCAATGTACCAGCAATCATGGTTTACTGGATATGTGTCATGTGCCCAGATATGGTGACAGTTGGGAACCTACTGGTCAAAACACAGTAAAACCATCCTCAAATATCAGAAGCAATAGTGGTACAATGCTTGCCTAGCATGCACGAAGTCCTGCGTTTGATTCTTCAGTACCACATAAACAGAAAAAGCCAGAAGTGGTGCTGTGGCTCAAGTGGTAGAGTGCTAGCCTTGAGGAAAAGAAGCTTAGGGACAGTGCCTAGGTCCTGAGTTCAAGCCCCATGACTGGCAAAAACAAACAAAAAAATCAGAAGCAAGATGGGTTTGTGGTTCACACCTGTAATCCCAGTCCTTGGGAGGCTAAGGCACAAAGTGCACAAGTTCAAGGCCAGCCTAAACAATCTGGTGAGACACTATATCAAAGACAAATAAATAGGGGCTGGGAAGGTGGCTCAGTGGTAGAGCGCTTGCCTTGCATGCTGGAGGCCCTGGGTTCGATTTCTCAGAACCACCTAAGCAGAAAAAAAAATCTGGAAGTGGTGCTGTGGCTCAAGTGGTAGAGTGCTAGCCTTGAGCTGAAGAGCTGAGGGACAGCGCCCAGGCCCAGAGTTCAGGCCCCATGGCAGGACCCAAAAAAAAAAAAAAAAGGTGATACAGTTCAGTGACCTAGTGCTTGCCTAGCATATGTGAAGCCAGAGGTTCAGTCTTCAGTAGTGAGAGAAAAATAAGCAACAACAATAACAAACAAAAGTAAAGCTGGGCATGGTGGTACATGGCTGTAATCCTGACAGAAGGCTAAGGCAGAAGGATCTCAAATTCAAGGCCAGCCTGAGATACATAGCAGACTCTGCCTCAAACACAAACAAAAACAAGAGCCAGGCACTGGTGGCTCACACCTGTAATCTAGTTATTCAAGAGGCTGAGATCTGAGGATCATGGTTCAAAGCCAACTAGGCAGACTGTGAGACTCTTCAACAAACCACCAAAAAGCCAGAAGTAGAGCTGTGACTCAAGTGGTAAAGTGGCAGCCTTGAACCAAAAAAGCTAAGACACAATGTCTAGGCCCTGAGTTTAAGTTTTAGTACAGGCACAGAAATAAATAAATAATTTGTGGGCGGGTGGCTCCCAATGGACTCAGGAGGCTGAGAGACTTAGAGGATCTTGGTTTGAAGCCAGTCTAGGCAGAAAAGTTCTCAGGATTCCATCTCCAGTTAACCAGCAAAATGCTGGACTGGAAGCATGGTCCAAGTAGTAAGAGTGCCAGCCATAAGTAAGGAAGCTGAGCAAGAATACAAGGTTCTAAGTTCCAGCCCCGATACTGGCACAAAAATAGATAAATAAAAATAAGGCCCAGCCAACCTGGCTTGAGCCAGCCCTTTGTAGCAAAGGCTGCATTAAGTTGGCAGAGTCCTAACCAATCAGTGCAGCAGAACTGGCTGGGGGGTGGGAGGAGCTGAGGGTCGCTTCAGGTGGCTGACACATACACACACACCAGAAGCCCACTTCATTCAGTGTCTGGTGGTTAACAGAGGCCTGATGAATGAGGCTGAATGAACACAACAGCCATTCTACCAGAAGGTTCTGGAGGACAGAGCACATGATGACATGATGACATCTGGGTAACAGATCCCCAGCGGCAGCCCCGCTGTCTGCCCCCCTCTTTGTTGCTCTTACCAGTGCTGTAGGCTGGGGAGCTGGGGCACTCGGAGATGGGGGACAGGGGCGAGTGCAGGTCGGGAATCTGGTCCATGCTGAGGGCACAGTTGCGGATGGACTCCCGGGGGTGTGGCAGGGACGTGCTAGGGGGAGACATTGCCATGAGTAGGAGCAGAGGTCAGAGGTCTCAGCCTGCTCCTGGGACCCCCAGCCTCCCCTCTGCCCTCTGAACTTCAGAAGCAGAAAAGGCTTGGGAATTGTCAGATTCTATCTCTCAATGGCCAGGTACAAAACCTAAGAGCTAGGGGAGGAAGGTGCAGCAGGACAGCGGGGGTCAGCTGGCACTGCCCGGGGGGTTCTAGTTGGTATCCCCCCCATATTTCCTTGCACTCTTTCTGCATCCCAATCAGCCTCCTCTCACAAAGCCAAGACAAGGGTGGACACACCCCACGGAGCCCATCAGGCTCCATCAGGCTTCTCTGTGTCTCTCCTGTCCCGGGGAGGAAGGGACACACAGCCAGAACTCTGCTGTTCCTCGCACAAGGTACCTTTGTGCAAATTGGACAATTGTATCCACGCTCCAAGCTCGCAAGGTACACTATCCCCTGTGGGGGCGGAAGCCTTTGCGCAGTCCACAACCTTCCCTTTCCTAGGACCCTTCCTCAGAAAACTCGAGAGAAGGTCCTGGAGATTGGGGCTAGCCAGGAAGGGTGGGGAATCTAATGGCGCCCCCTTGCTGCTCCAGCAGTCTCCACAGACTCTGGATATCTCAGCACAAGAGTGAGTGTGGCCTGCAGATCCTGACATCACTGGTTCTACCCCACAAACCAAGCATACCACTGCCAGCCTACCTATCCATCAAGTCCTTGGCTGGTAGCACCCAACCCTAGAGCTCAGGGAGATGGAGATGAAGGCCTACCCAATGCTGGGGACATGAGACAGTGAGCCTGTCTGCAAAGAGCCAGGGAAGCTGTTTGCAAAAATGAAGAGAACAGGCTTTAGAGTCTGCAAGTTCTGGGTTCAAATCTGAATGCTGCTACACTCCAGCTGTTGGCTTCCCCGGTGTAAGCCTTCCTCTACAGCTATAAAGTAGGGGCTGGACATGTCTCCCCGCTCCCAGGCAGTAAGAGTTGACACGGAGCTGGAGCAGTAGGCTCCCTGAAAATATTAGCTGTTCCACCCTTTCCTGGGTTTGAACTTGATCTTACCCGGCTGCAGGAACAAACAGGTATCATGAACACATTTCTGAGCCAGGCACTGGTGGCTCATGCCTGCAGTCCTAGCTACTTAGTAAGCTGAGATCAGAGTTTGAAGTCAGCCCAGGCAAGAAAGTCTGTGAGATTCTTATCTCCATGAGCCAGTAAAAAGTTAGCTGTGGAGGTGTGACTCAAGTGGTAGAATGCCAGCCTTGAGCACAAAAGCTAAGGAAAAACATCCTGGTCCTGAGTTCAAGCCCCAGTCCTAGCAAGCACTCGCCAGCCTCTCATGGACAAATGGGCCGATGGAGCCCAGCTGACCTGGTGGGGCAGCCGTCACTGCGCGTGACCTTGTCGGCGGTGAGCCCATCGGTCATGGTGACACTGCGCCGTTTCATGTGGCTGCCTTTGGAGCTGGAGGGGCTGGCGGGGCTGGCAGCCTTGCCACCGCCCTGGCCCAGGCCGTAGCTGGCCTCGAGGTAGCGCAGCGGGAAGGTGCGGTTGACTGGGCAGTAGATGATGGCCCCGCTCTGCTCAGACACAGCCTTGCGGCTGCCCACATGATACCGCACCAGGGCAGGCACGTGGTCGAAGCTCTCCTGCTCAAACAGGTACTGAATGTGGGTGTAGCTCTCGCCAGCCTTCACCACCACCTTGTTGATCTTGAAGTGCAAGGCTTGGTTGCGCCAGCGGCACGTGAGCACGTAGTCCCCCAGGCTGGTGAGCGAGTCCCGGATGAGGAAGTCACCATTGCGCTGCACCAGGGTTTCAGAGACCTGTGGGAGGCACAGGGAGGCTGGAGGGTGACGGGGATAGAAGAGGGCCAGATCCAGGCTACAGGGACCACCAAAGGGTTACAGGGGATGCCAAGGCCACACCCAGAATGTAGACAATCCAGAAAACTGACATCTAAAGCCTGGGGTCAGGGATAGCACCACTCAGCCAGGACCAAGTCTGGGACAGGAGATTCATGAATGGGAAGGCGTGAGGCCCTGACTGGATAGCACAGAGACCCAGGGCTCAGACCTATCCATTCTCAGCCTCTGTATCTGCCTCAAGCTGCTTTCTCTGGTGAGTCTGCCCCAGCCCACCCCCACCCCCCAGGGACCACCTTAGGGCCAGACTGCTCTTTGTGCAGCTCTCCACTTGTATACTTCTCTCCCCAGGCTCTGACTGTAGGCCTGCTTCTCAGCATCCACCCAGAGCCCCCAGCCCTGCAGGAAAGCCACCACCTCTTTTAGCCCAGGGCCTGGTAGGGCAAGTGTTTGGCCAAGATACAGTGTGGGTGACAAAAGGATCAGGTAACCCATCAAAACTGAGTAGTTCAGCCAGGCACCAGTGGTCATGCCTGTAATTCTAGCTACTCAGGAGGCTGAGATCTGAGGATTGTGCATGGTTCAAAGCCAGCCTGGCAAGAAAGTCTGTGAGACTCTTAACTCCAATAAACCACTAGAAAACCAGACGTGGTGCTGTGGCTCAACAGCTTTCGCCTTGAGCTGAAGAGCTGAGGGACAGCATCCAGGCCCAGAATTCAAGTCCCACAACTGACAAAAACAAACAAACTGGGTAGTCCAAAGACAGATACCCACTAACCAAACCCACAAGAGACTGATGTATATAGACCAATAATAATAGAATAACAAGTAATAATAAGTCATAACAATAATATTCATTGAGTCACCAGAGTTAGACCTTATGTTAGGCACTTTGAATTATTTCATTTACTCTTCCAATAACCCTTAGGGTCATAACTCGTATTACTCTTTATGGTATAGATGAGGACATTAGGGCTCAGAGATGTGAAGCAACTCTTTCAAGGTCACACAGCCCCAAACTGCAAAGCTGTAATTAATCCCATCCCTCTTGAACTAAAACTATCAAGGAACAGATCAAAACCTATGTGGTGACTGGAGCCAGGGGCTGGGGCTGGCTGAGGTATGTGGAAGGGTCTAGGCAAAGCTGTGGTTCCAACCCAAGGGCCTGCTCACCTCTCGGGGGATACGGCCGTGGTACCAGGCATGGCTGCGGAGGTCTGTGCTGCTGAGCTTCAGTTCTTCCTCCAGCTCCTTGTGCAGTTTCTCTGGTGAAGAGTCGAGGATGTACTTCTCCTTGGAGAACTGGACAGGAAACAACAAGAGTTAGCATTGACTCAAAGCTCTCTTTTCAGTGTGTATTATGTTTATGAGTAGCACTGTGGCTCAAGTGGTAGAGAGCTAGCCTTGAGCACAAAGAGGCTCAGGGACAGTGCCCAGGCCCTGAGTTCAAGCTCCAGGACCAGAAAAAAGAAGGCTGGTGCTATACAACTTGAGCCACCGCTTGACCTCTGACTTTTTGCTAGTTAATTGAGATAAAAGTCTCTTGGAGGACTGAGAAGGTGACTCGGTGGTAATGTGTTTGCCTAGCATGCATGAAGCCCTGGGTGTGATTCCTCAGTATCACATGCACAGAAAAAGCCAGAAGTGGTGCTATGGCTCAAGTAGTAGAGCACTAGCCTTGAGCAAAAGAGCCTCAGGGACAGTGCCCAGGCCCTGAGTTCAAGCTCCAGGACGCACCCCAAAAAAAAAAGTCTCTTGAATTTGTCTGCCCAAACTTGCTTGGAACTGAGATCAGATCTCAGCCTCCTAAATAGCTAGAATGATGGGTGTGAGTCAGCAGTGCCTAGCAAAGCCCCCCTTTTCCCTTCCTCTTATTTTTGGTGATACTCAAGGCCTAGCACTTGCTAAACAGGCGCTGTTACCAGAGTCACACCTAAAGCACTCTTTCCCTCCCTCTTGACTTCACTCTACCCCATGTAAACTTCTGCCCTAGAATGCTGGAGCACTAGAGACCTGCCAGAAATGGCCTTACCCATGGATACCTGTCCCAGCTGGAAGAAAGAAATGTCAAAAATCTCAACTGTTTCCCCTAAAGCATTCAGACTGTGTTCCCAGCCAGACAACAGCAGCATCTGAGCTGGGTGTAGTCAGCACCATGGAGCTGGACAGCGGCAGAGCTTGAGGCTCTTCTAAAGGAGGTGGTTAAGTCTAAGCCAGGCAGGGAGCATAGGCCAGAAGCCTGGGCTTGAACTCTGGTGCGTGCGTGCGTGTGTGTGTGTGTGTGTGTGTGTGCGTGCGTGTGTGTGTGTGTGTGTGTGTGTGTGTGCGTGCGTGTGTGTGTGTGTGTGTGTGTGTGTAAGGGGGAGGGAGGAAGAGTGTTATGGGGCTTAAACTCAGAGCCTGAGTATTGTCCCTCTCTCTTTTTGCTCAAGGCTAGAACTCTACCCCTTTGCACCACAGCTCTACTTCTGGTTTTCTGTTGGTTAATTAGAGATAAGAGTCTCACAGACTTTCCTGCCTGGGCTGACTCTGAATCTTGATAGTCAGATCTCAGCCTCCTGAGTAGCTAGGATTTCAGGGATGAGTGATGAGTGCTTGACCACCACCTTGATCTTAAAATAAGAAGAAGGAGATTTCTACAGGTGAGTCTGGAAGGGGAGGCACAGGTATGGACAGAAGCTCAGGTATGGACACAGACAGCCAGATGGCCTAGAATTCATTCTGGAAGGTGGGCTGCCCAGTGCAAGGGTGGGAGGCAGCCATGCTCAGGAGCAGGGGGCTATACAGATGTGGTCATCATGCAGCTCAGTTCCCCAGGCCCGTGCCCCTTTCTTTTTTTTTTTTTTGGATCCGGTTGTGGGGCCTGAACTCTGGGCCTGGGCGCTGTCCCTCAGCTCTTCAGCTCAAAGCTAGCGCTCTACCACTTGAGCCACCGTGCCACATTCAGCTTTTTTCTTTTTGCTTATGTGGTGCTGGAGAATTGAACCCAGGGCCTCGTGCATGCAAGGCAAGCGCACTACCGCTGAGCCACCTTCCCAGCCCCGCCCGTGCCCCTTTCCAACTCAAGGGACCCTCACCAAATTTGGAAACTACAGCTCAGCTGGGAAGCCCAGCATTGAAGAAAATGCCCACAGTGTGATCTTCCCTCCTGCCCATGGTTTCCTGGTTACGTGGCCTGCTTCTAGAGGTCATCCAATCCCAGAGGGCTCCTACATACTGTCAGGAGATGGGAGCCCCACCATGAGGCACACCCCCACCATACAGCCCAGCCTGACCCTGGCTGACTGTGTCATGTGAGTCATCTGGGCCTTGAGTTCTTCCTCAGGAAAATGGCTGCAAGGATAAGGCCTGCCTCACTCCATAGCCAGGACATTCAGAACAGGGCAGCTCGCACTTGGACACCCACATCACTGTGAGAATGTAAAGGATGCCGAACTTTCTCTTCCTCCAACTCCAGGCCTCAAAAAATGGCTGCTCTAGGAAAGAGATCCAAAAGATAGAAGAGGACAGGCCAGGGAAAGAAGCTGAGTCTCTTCCCAACACCTCTCCTCCCCAGAGACCAAGCATCCTGTGCACCACGCCCAACCTCCTCAGACCTGCCACTCATCTCAGGTCCTCACTCAGTGGCTCCGCCCCCATGTTGCCTGGCTACCCTGATTGGCACTCTCCCTGGACACCATGATTCCAGCTCCTAATATTTCTAGACTCTTCTACTCTCTCATGCAACACTGACTAGCTCCATCTCAGGTTCTGGGCTGCGGCTGAGGCCCAAGGCAACTAGGATGGTCCTTTGGCCTTTTGGGATGCCCATAAAGATAGTGACACTGAACCCCAGGTTTCTAAATGTTTAGGGATTTACTGAGGGCCTCCCTCCTTCCCAGTCAGAGCAGAGTCAGGGGCTCCTTCTCCAAAAGAGAGGATGTTTCTACTAAGCACAAAGAGGATCAGCAAATCCAAGCAAAAGCACAAGGGAGGGCAGGTGGGCAGGGAAGAGCTTGATGGAAGAAGTTAGGACCCTGCAGACAAAGTCAAGGACCAGAGGTAGAGAGTGAGGAGAATGAGAAGCTTCAAAGGAGTTGTGAGCGGCAGGGGCAGGTGCGGCAGCGTTGGGGGCTTCCTGGAGAGCTGGAAATCCCTGAGGTCACAGCAGACACACAAAAGGATGCTGAAAGTTGGGTCAGCTCCTGTTTACGGTGGAGTGTAGCTTTGTGTCTTCAGGAAATAGCAGGAGGAAGGCAGGGCAGGGCCTGCTAGAGATATCTGTGTGGACACTGAAGGGGTGTGAGGAAAGAGCACCAAGGAACCACAGAGATCTAGGAGGATGCTAGAATCTTCTTGGGGGGGGTTAGTTTGGCACAAAAGCCATTTGGCAATGGGCCCGTGAAAATTTGGGCTTCAAGGAGCAGGCAGAGTTCTGTGGACAGATGGTAGGAGTGGGTGGCTTGTACAGGTGCTCGGGGGAAAGGCTGGGCCTGCGGAGGGGAATTCTGCCCATCCTCTGCCCACAGCTGAGCACGATCCGCCAAGGCTTGGCTGAAATTGGTTCATTTCTCAGCTATCCATACATCTCCAAGGGGCTTCTATTCTTGAGGGTTCCTGTCCCCCTCCCTCTCAGTCCAAAGTGCTTATAAACAGCATGGACCTTCCTCCTCAGCTCCTGGGAAGAATAAAACTGGGGATACCCCGAACAAGGAGCTAGAAAAGTGTTTCCCAGGGTTCTTCTTAACAAAGTGTACACAATGGGAACTTCCCCCAGTTCCATGCTGGAGCTAGAGGGATAGGAGGCCAAGGGGATGAGGCCAAGAGCCCTAAGAATCTGCCACTGTGTGACCTTGAGCCAGTCACTTCCTGTCGGGGCCCCAGTAGCCGGGTCTATAGCAGTACTGGGAGACTGGGCTGTGGTTCCAGTCTTTCCTCAGTGTTCAGAATTTAGGAGTAGGGGGCGAACCGGATTAATCCACACAGCGGACGGTGGCAAGCCCTGGGGCCCCTCTGCCCTCCACCTCACCCTCGTCCTCAGGGTCCCAGGCTCCCAGGAGTTGGTGGGGAGGGGCGGGGAGGCTGGGGCTCCAATGCTGCATCCCTGGGCTGCGCGCACTGCCATTGGCCAGAGATGACCTCACCGCCTCAGCCTGCGCGCTCCTGATTGGCTGGCGCGGGGATGCTGCGCTCGGAGGCCGGCGGCTGTCATTCAGCCAGGCTAGGAGCGCGTGTGAGCGAGGGGCGCAGAGAGCTGCACCCACCCACCCGTGTCTCCCTGGGGCCAGAGAGGCGGGGGGCGCAGGCACCCCCGGGCAAAGCCCTGGTCCCTTCCCGCCAGCCCGTCTCCAGCCACCTCTCTGGAGCTCCCTTAGGGGTCCCGAGCCCAGGCAGAGCCGTCCCCGGGAGCTGCTGGTGGAGAGGCGGGGTCGGGCCCCCTCCGCCCCCTTCCGTTTAACCCCCTCACCGCCGAGCCGTCCGGCGCTGCCCAGCAGCCGTGTTGGGACCCGCGTCCTAAGCCCACCTTGAGGGGACAAGGTGTGGGGCGTCCCTGGTCCCCACCGCAGCACCCGCAGAGCCCCCTTGCTAGTTCCGCCCCCCGCACTCAGCCCCCGCGGTACAATGGGGAGCGGGGCTGCCGGGGTCAGCCGCCGGGACCCGAGTGCCCGCTGGAGGACCCCTTCCCAGGACCGCGTCCGAGCTCTGCCGCTGCCTCCTGAGGAGGAGGACCGGGAGGCAAGACCAGACCCGCCAGGGCCGGCCTCCGGGGAGTGGCGGCCGAACCCCAGCCCCCGGGTCGGGGCATCTGGGCATCCCGAGGTGAGGATGGGGACCCCGCCTCCAGCCTCAGCCCACCACCCCCGGCCCGGCCCGGCCCGGGAGGCTGCGCGGGGCTGCGATCCCAGGGATCTCAGACCCCGGCACTGCGGCCAGAGGGTCCCAGCCCGGAGCCGCCCCTCACCTGCACCTGCACGAAGGAGCCGCGGTAGAAGCAGCAGGCGGCGGCGGACAGGGCGCTCCACAGGCTGCACCGCTCGGTCATGGCGGGGCCGGGGCCGGGGCCAGGAAGCCCAGGGGCGCGCGGGGGGCGGCCGGCCGGGCAGGGGCGCGGGGATCCAGGGGCGTGGGGACCGAGCTGCTGGGCACCGGCGGCGCGGCGCGTGCCTCTCCGCGGCGCGATTACCTCATCGCCTGATCGGGGGAGGAGCGGAGGCGGGGCGGGGAGACCCCACCCTCCCGCCCGGCGAGGGGAGGGGGCCATTGTTCCTCCCTCTGCCCGCCCCCTGCGCCCAGCCCCCCGCCCCCTCCCACCCCCCTCCCAGCCCCGCACCGCACGGCTGCCTGGAGCCCAGGCGCGGGACCAAGGACCCAGCTAGGGCTGAGGAGGGCCGAGGTGGGCCGGGGCAGGGGGGGTCGCTACCTGCCCGCTGCCCACGGACCCCCGAACGCCCCCAGTTTCGTCAAATCTTATCTAAAGCTGGAAAAATCCCTGTGTGCGTTTGCAGAATCCGCTGTGGCCGGGGAGAGTCACAGGAACAAGGCGTTGGGCTTACAGGTCAGGCTCAATGGTTTGGGGGGCCATGCTGAGGTCACCTGCCTCTCCCTAAACTCATGGTCTCCCCAACCCAGGGAGCCCTGGACGGGCAGGGAACACAGCTGGAAAACGCAGCGAAGATCTGAACCTTGCAGAACTTTTTGTTTTTATTTATGGTGTGTGTGTGTGTGTGTGTGTGTGTGTGTGTGTGTGTGTGTGTGGCAGTGCACCAATACTGGGGTTTGAACTCAGGGCCTGCGTGTTATCTCTGAGCTTCTTTTGCTCAAGGCTGATACTCTACCACTTAAGCCAGGCCTCCACTTGCATTTTTGTTGGTTAGTTGGAGATGAGTCTCCTGGACTTCCCTGCCCTTCCTGGGCTGGCTTAAAACAGTGATCCTCATCTCCCAGCCTAGGATTACAGGTGTGAGCCACTGGGGCCCAGTTCCACTGGGAATTTTAAGCAGAGAAACAACCTCCGGCTTTTCCTTTCAGAACTTTGTAAGAGCTGTCAGAGCTGATGCATGACTGTTACCAGCATGAAGTAAGTGCTCAAGTAAGCAGTTGCCATTTTTCAAAATCTGGACTTTTTTTTTTAATCCTAGAATCATAGCTACAATGAGTATCATTGCTGATTCAACATCAGTCAGACCCCATATCCAAATCCTTCCCTCAGGCTGTGTGATCTCAGGCAGGTGAGTCTACCTTTCGGTGTCCCTGTTATTTTCTGTAAATATGCCTGAAGCTCCTGAGTATGGTCTTGGAATTTTAGAATTCTTTCCTTCAGATCCAAGCATTTGTATCATGGCTTGGGAACTTCGGAGTCTTCTAGAAGCTGCCTCTTCCAAGATAAGCCCTTCTAGCCAGCCAAGGTACATTCATAAGCCCGAGAATGCCACCCTTCACTGGGTGCTTCAAAAATAAAACTAATATTCCTTTGACTGTAGCCTTTGGGGATTGCTTAATCAGCTCCAGTGAGCAAGTATTACAGGATGTTTTGAAAAAATCAGCATTTTTCCAGGCTCCTGTAATCCTAGCCACTTAGGAAGCTGAGATTTGAGGATCAAGTTTTGAACCCGATGAGGCAGGAAAAGTCTTGAGAGACTCTTATCTCCAAGTAATCTACAAAAAGCCAGAAATAGAGCTGTGATTCAAATGGTAGAGTACCAGCCTTGAAAAGCTAAAGGAGAGCATTCTAGGTTTGAGTTCAAGTCCCAGAATCACATGCATATGTACATGTGCACATGTGTGCACGCACACACATACATAATTTTTTTATAGCTGGGCGTCAGCGGCTCACACATTGTAATCCTAGCTACTGAGGAGGCTGAGATCTGAGGATCATAATTCAAAGTCAACCCAGGCAGACAAGTCCAAAAGACTTCTTTTTTTCCCCAGTCCTGAGACTTGAACTCAGGGTCTGGGCACTGTCCCTGAGTTTCTTTTGCTAGAGGCTAATACTTGAGCCACAGTGCTACTTCCAACTTTTTCTGTTTATGTGGTACTGAGGAATCGAACCCAGGGCTTCAAGCATGCTAGGCAAGCACTTTATAACTAAGCCACATTCCCAGCCTAAGTCCAAGAGACTTCTTCCAGGAGGCTTAAGTAATAGACTGCCGGCCAAGTTCATGCCCCAGTACTGGCACACATACACACATATTCATGTTTTAAACTCCATAAACTAAAGGGAGAAATAGATATCTAACAACCTCTCAATGTCTCACTACCTTGCCAGGCAGCCAGGATAAGCCGGGTACTGAATCTTGCCCTGATGTCCCATTCCCCTTGCTTGGGTCTCTCAAGCTCCCCCCCCCCCGAGCTCAGGAGGATCAGGCTGACTTCTGAGGTGCCCCTAGCTTGCCTTCTGACTGGCTCTGCCCGGAATACCCTCCAGCCCATCTCTGCCCAGCTGCTCTCTCATGGAGAGGTGACAGGGAATATTACTGGCCAACTGCAGTGGCCTGGCTTCAATGCTTTCCCCTGCAGAAAACCTTCCTTGGCCTTCTCCCAGCTCCCCGGCTGAGAGTCATGGCCTCTTATACTCTGGCGATAGTAGAGGCAGCCTTGCGCATCATCAACAATTAGGGTGATGAGATGAATGTCCCTGAGGACAGGAGACCTGCCAGCCTGCCCTGCTGCAGACAAGGTGGTCCTCAGACACATGAGCACACACTGAGGCTCAGTTCAGTCACAGATCTGGGACTAAAACTCAGGTGCTGGGAGCTCACATCTATAATCCTAGCTACTCCAGAGGCTGAGATTTGAGGACTGAAGTTTAAAGCCAGCTGAGGTAGGAAAGTCCTGTGAGACTCTTATCTTTAATTAAGGCTGGAGACTGGCTAAAGTTGTAGAGCACTAGCCTTGAGCAAAAAAGCTCAGAGACAGCACCTAGAGTCTGAGTTCAAGCCCCAGGTCTGATGTGCGTATGCCACGTGTGCACATGCGCACACACGCGCACACACACACACACACACACACACACACACACAGTGCCCAGTAGCAGCACGACACCTGCATATAGCAGATACTAAAAATGTTATTTAGAATTATTAATGTTACCACTAAATCAAACACACTTCACTTAGGCTGGGCAGCAATGGTTCATGCTTATAATCCTAGCTATGTAGGAGGCTGAGATCTGAGGATCACACTTCAAAGCCAGCCCAGACAGTCTCTTATCTCCAACCACCAGAAAAATGGAAGTGGTGCCATGGTTCAAAGTGGTAGAGCACTAAATCAAGCTCTGTCACCACCCCCCGCCCCCCCTCACACGCCCACTTCATTTGGAAGTAGTGTCTCAAACAAATGAAGGGCTGGCATGTGGCTGAAGCAGTAGACTTTTAGACCTGGCTTCAATCTCCAGTACCATGAGAATACACTAAAACTTAAATAAATAAGTTTGATAAGCATGCGTTGTGCACATCCCCCCAGCCCATACCCATACACCATGCTGAAGATCTAAGTTGCTCCTCACTCCTGTCCCCTCCCAGCCCAGCTGCTGGCAGGTAGGTGGGGCCTGGTCTGAGCTTGAGGCCAGCAGGGAACAGTGACAGACAAGGAAAGAAGCTGCTCAGAGTGAAACCAGACCCAAGTGCTGCCTGACCCCTGACCCTGTCCCCCTGGGGACAGCCCCTCCTGATGAGGCTCTGAGCCCTCCAGTGTCCCCTAACCCATGCCTAACCCCTTGAGTCCTTCCTACCTTCACATAGTCTCCAGCAGCCTCAGGCTCTCCAGCAGCTCTGGAACAAAGAGAAAAGAGGTGAGTCCCCAGTCCTAGCACTGCCCCCTCCCCCCCTGCATCCCAAAGCCTCATCCCTGGACTTCCTGGAGTCTACCAGCCTGGCTGCCCTCTACCCCAGAGCTATGCATCACTGGAGAAATGCTCTCACCTCTCTTAGCCTGCGTTCTGTCTGTAAAGCCAAGAACAACGGCAGCCTTGGCCTCCTCAAGTGGTGGAGGACTCAGACAGTGAGGACCACCAGCTGCTGAGCCGGCAAGCTCAGGACGCGATACTGTCCAGGTTCTTCCCTTCCTCCCTGCTGCCCTCCGGTCCTGTCCCTGCTCCCAGCCCACACCCCCAACTCTAAACACTGGGGGCCCAGGCGAGGACTCAGCCCCCTGCCCCTACCTAGTCACAGCTCCCTCTGCCTTCAGGGCGGCAGGGATGGAGTCTGCACTGGCTGAGGGCTGGAGGCGGCTGTCAGTCCAACCTCCCTCCCTCATGAGGGCCACTAGGAGCCACTGCCCCTAGTCACAGCCTTAATCCCAGCTCTCTCCACTGACGTAACCTGGCCCACCCCTTCCACACCATGGCCCAGTAGCGCAGTCCTGGTGCTCTGCCACTTGTCCCGTACAGCAGAGCTGTGCATCCTCCCACTCTCTCTTCCTCGGGGCTCAGCTGAAGTCAGCCCCATCCTTCTTGTGCCTCCTGCTTGGCTCCCATGCCATAGCCAGTCCACCAGGAGATCCGCCCCTGTCCTTTCAGAATGGATCTCAGAGCCGGGCGCTGGTGGCTCACGCCTGTAATCCTAGCTACTCAGGAGGCTGAGATCTGAGGATCGCGGTTCAAAGCCAGCCCCGGCAGGAGAGACCG